TCTCTCTCTCTCTCTCTCTCTCTCTCTCTCTCTCTCTCTCTCTCTCTCTCTTTCTTTCTCTCATTCTCTATTAAACTCACTATCATTTTCGCAAACACTATCTCACTATCACACACTCTCTCTCACACTCACATTCTCTCTTTCCCTTCCATTCTCACTCCCACACACTCACTCACTCTGACACTCTTCTCATTCTCTCTCACTCACTCACTCACCTTCACGCACAGTCTCTTAGGGGTCTAACCAGGCTAAGTTAAAACTGACAAGTGCCCGTCCTCTTTGTGATAAGCAAATGTGTACGTGATGCAATCTTAACCAAAATAAATATACTTGTTTTTTTGTGACTTCAAAATCCAGCAAGAAAAAGTCATTCGCGACAGATGCACGCCCCATAGCACAAACATCTATTGTTTTTGTTATCATCTTTTAACAAAAGAAAAAACAAACCCAAATTGGCTCACATTGCTGCTATGAAAGGTCAATTCATATACATTATTCATAATAAATGAAAAAGAAATCTGTTCAATTTTCTTTCGACTATCGGAGGAAAGATAATGTATTTGGCAATAGCCGTGCTATGTCATTAGTAATAGGAGAATTTTCCATAATGACAACGAAAGTCATGCAACACCGTTTTCGCTTTGCGCAAAAGTAGATGTTGGTGTTTCGTAAAACAATACATTTTAAGTCTTTGCTTTTCTTATTTCAAATAAATAAACGTTCAAAATGATTTTATAAGACATGAAATGAAAAATTATTTTCAAAGTATGATTAATATAAAATTTTGCAAAAAGTGAGACAATGATAGATCTATGATTGCGAAACAGTGGTTTAGCAAGTGCAAATAGGTTTACTCATCGCGAAGAATAACAATAAATATGGCGACCACTGGGGAGTGGAAAGGAAATATACTATTTCAACTGAAGCGACGAAACCACAAGCAAAGCGAACCTTTCCAAGCCATCATTCAGACGAGTATGTTTTTCCCTACTGATACCAGTTGGCCACGTTTTAGATTAAGCTGTAGTTTTTTATAACCACCCACGATGCGCGTAGATAATAACAGCTTCTCTCTTTCACTTTCACCACTCCACTCCATCTACTTAGTCTACTAAACTAATAATAAGTCACTAAGGCAAGGTGACTATCACTTCCATCCCACCCCGTCATACAGATTTCTAGATGTAGATTTAGATCTAATATGAATTTGATCCAGATCCATCTAGATCTAGATCTGAATGATGTTCGACGTTTTATTAACCCTCATCCTGCGGGAGCCGGGTTTATGTAGCCCGATAAGCCGATTTCGGCACCTCGCCTACGTTCTGGTCCCGAATCAGTGTAGCTCCTGGCTCAGTGCACGCGCAGCACGCATCCTCTTACGTGTCATTCGGGTCCCGAGTCGAATCCCCATTCACGCAGGTCAAGTGTGTGCGCGTCAGTCTGCTTGAGTTTGTGTGCGTTTGTGGCCTTCTTCTAGAAACGCCTGCGTTGGTTCGTAATTGAGGCATACGTCTCATTCAAAACATGCCAAGTTGGTAGCTCTAGATCAGTGGTTTTCAAAGTGGGCGCTACCGCCCCCAGGGGGGCGGTGGCAACAGTTTGGGGGGCGCTGTGGCGAAATTGGGCGATAGGGGGGCGGTAGTGGGCGTTAAGGGGGCGGTGTGAAATTTTGATGAAATGCAACATAAAAATTGGCGAAGGGAAAGAAGCCACATTAAGAAAAAAATAATAATAAAAAATAAAAATTGGTAACTTAGGCATAGTTTACAATATAGCAATGCCAATGAAAATTTAAATTTTCACTTTTGCCCCCTTTTTTTTGGTACCTAAGAAAGAATTTTCAATTCTGATAATTATGCTTCTTGAATTTTGAGAATCGGTTCATAAATAAAAAAGTTATGGGGTTGTAAAGGTCGGCAAAATATGGATGACCCACATATAGGAAAATACTCCTAAAAAGTGGACCACGCAGTAGCAGATTCTGTAAGAAAATCGACGATATCTCGGTAACTAATCCAAATGTTCGAGAGAAACTTGGCTACCCGATGTGTTTTTGAGTGTAGAAATCATTTCTGCAGTCAGATTTATTACCAATTTCGTAGTTATTTTGTTATAATTAAAATTGTGGTGTACATATTACGATTTTGCGAAAAAGGGGTGTCGGGATGAGTCCATTTTATTTATAGCATCGTATCACAACATGGGATCTTTAAGAATGTATGTCGGCAGCGTGACTAAATAATTGCAAAGCTTTTTATGATGACTTTAGACCATGCCAACCGTAAAAGATAAGTTAATTCAATCTAGCATGCCGTACAATTAAAAATTCTTTTTCCCCGTTGAGACGCGAACACCCCGAGACGAGATAACCTCGCCTCGGAATACCCCCATTGCGATGTTACAGGGGAATAGAGAGAAAAACAACCGGATGCGCGCGCCCGCCATTGCCCTATTTCAAGTGACCAATGAACGGGCCCGGAATAGTCATGCGGGGATTTGTAGGTCACAGACATTTGCCACGGGAGTGAGGGGAAAATGGCCGGTCTCCATGCGAAGCCGCTTTGGATAGGGGGGTAGTCGTAGATTTACGATCGGGTCTAAACAACTACTTGACACAGAACTCTCAAATTTGAGCACACTATAGAGGATAGATAGATCTATTACCATCTGGGCGTTGAAATTCAAACTCCTTATAGTTTTCGGTGTACACGATACGAAAGTGTTCCCGACACCAAAAGTATAGGTTAATTTATGTGTACGAACTTCAACGTCCACATATCATTAGTTTGCCCTATTTTCTGATTGGTAGCCAAGTTTAATTCGGATTGGTTCGGAAATAGAGCAGACCGAGGTTGACAAAGTTAGTCACCTACGCTTCGGCCGGGTCCGCAAAATCGCCCGTAAACGGGGACCAAATTTTCGCCTCGCGGGAAAGCCCGATTGGCATTGCTATACAGTACTACTTATTACTAAGAACTTTCTTTCCCAGCACTCAAAGCCCATAATAAATAATTATAAAGATGATTCATCCCGGCAAATCTGACAAAGATCTGGCTTACTTCAAAACTCTAAAGATCAATTTTCAGAAATAAAAATCTATTAAATCGATGTTTGCAGCCGACGTCAATCAAGCTGATGAAGACTTACGAGCAACTTATAATTTATCTCTACTAATTGCAAAGGCAGGCAAACCATGTACTCTCGGTGAGGACCTCATTACCTGCGATAAGAGAGGTGTCAGCACAGTCCTGCACCGTGCCCCGAGCCTGTGGTGAAAGTTCTTGCCATTAAGTGACAATGGATGGGATGTCAGCAAATGTTAAGGAATTATTGTGCAAAATGCTTAAAGGACATGAGTTCAGCCTTCAACTGGATATCGGTTTATAGAGGGTGAAGAAATAATGCAAGAATTGTTATTGGCGAAAATGTTGGAAACAGATACCAAAGTGGAGTCCATTTTCAAAGTGGTCCAAGAATTTTTCGAGGAGAAACAGATTCCTCGGGCCAATATAGTTGCCTGTGCATCAAACGGAGCACCGTCGATGACTACATGTAGTCGGTACCGTGGATTTATGAGCTTCTTGAAAAAATCAGTCCCTGGAGTAATAACTGTTCGCTGTGTCATTCACAGACAGAATTTGGGGGCAACAAATCTGAATGAAAGTCTGCATGACACACTGGCCATTTTCATCAAGTGTGGGAACAAGATCAAAGTTCACGCTTTGAACTCGAGATTATTCCTACAGCTGTGCACTGAAAATGACGAGAACCTTCAATTCTCAAAAGGAAACTTTAACACGATTATTATTCTGCCTGTTTGACTCTGTGCTGGAGTTTTTTTTCAAGAAACAGTGATCTCTGCAATAAACTGAAACAACACAAGAACAGCATTGCGTTCATCACAGATCTTTTCTCAAAGTTCAACCAGGTCAACTTGCAGCTGCAGGGGGATGACACCAACCTGATTAAGGCAAAATCCATGCTTCGCCATTCTTGTCGAAATTGGAAATATTTCACCGAAACATTGGCAGAAGAGAATTTGCTCAGTTTCCTAGCTTGGCAGAGACACTGAAAGAAGGGCGGGTTTCTGACGAGGAACTAAAAATATATACCAACCACCTCAGAGATTTGCATGCTGATATGATCACGAAGACAAGGTTTAGTGATATCTTTAAACTGGAAATTCCAGACTGGGTACTGGACCAACTCAATACTGGAACAGATGGTGACCTGACAGTGGCAATTGAAGAAGAGCTGACCGTGAAAAGTGACTTTGAAATCGAACCATTGTTCAAAAAGTCGTACCGGTCATTCTGGTTGAAAACTATTGTGCAAGACAAATATCCCTCCCTGTAGGAAAATACCAAGGTGTTCATCGCTTTTCCCACCTCCTGTCTTGTTGAAAGGGGATTCGATTCAGTACAGTGACAAGGTTGCTGACGAAGCAGAGGAACAAACTCAGGATCACAGAGCGTGGCGATTAACGTCTGCTACTGACCAATCTTAAACCTGATGTTGACTTCGTCTCATCAGGTCCGTCCTTCCCATTAGGGCAGTAGTTTACCCTTACTTGATACCTGAATACGTCTTTTCTTATTTTGTTTTTCTTTCTTCTTTTTCTAAAGCAAAATACTCACTTGTTATTATAGTTTGTTAAGTGCAAGTGCTGCCACTGCTGATGAAACTGATGATGATAATGATGATGCGATGATTACGATGACGGTGATAATTACAAAGATCCATGCATACTTTTTCTTTCGTGTGGTTTCTCACATTTGAACAGTTGGATAATATTTTTATGTTCTACAATGGAGATATTTGATAATATACAAATCTCAGGCAACTTTATTGCATCTCCTTGATGGGAGAAAACGTTTCATCGAAATAATGTCAATCTGTTTTCAAACTAATGATCACTGTTTTGGTTGTTTTTTTGGTTTTTTTTAGTGTTTTGCTTCTGAAAATGTCATAATACATGTTTTACTTTTATTTATATTAACAACACTGGTCGTTTAATACCGATGACACATATAAATAAAATGACGGTATTTTGTTCTCAATGCCCTTGCATGACAGAGAAGAAAAAATGTTTTTTATTACCTCTCGTACACGCTTAATTTAAGACTGTAATGATGGTGATTTGTGACCCAACTGATATTCAGAACCAAATCTTTAAAATTTAGGCACTTTATTTGTACCTTACTTTTTGAGCTCTCTCTTTATTTGTGATTGTTACTATGCATGTTGTTATGTCAGATTGATGGTTGGGGCGGAGTAAGGGGCGCTAGGACTCGGCTGGGTGAAAAAGGGGGCTCTAGATGTTCGTCCAATGAAATTATAGAAGAAATTGACCCACTTAGAGATGAGGAGCTCAAAAGGATAGTCAAGAAACAAGACTTCCATTTTTCTATACAAAATATTTCAAATCAGAGTGATTTTGTATGAAATGATACTACTTGATAAAAAATAAGCTTGTTTGATAGTTTTGAATACCATTGTGCAGGTACAAAGAACAATTTGAGTGTAAAACATTTGGAAATTGACATAAATTATCCCCTTTCGAACCTCAGGTCATTCATAACAACAAGAGTGTCCAGAAAGGTTATTCGAATAGGCGTAACTACTTGTAATGTCTTATCAGCTTGTGAGAGGGGGTTATTCATGTGATTGTAACACTTTATAAATAGAAAGCTATGAAGGATAGAGCGTTATTTTTATCATCGGTTAACACACTCCCGCGGTATTCATGGTGAAAACACACGTTTCCTGGTGCGCGTGCTGTACACCAACAGTACACACTGAGTGACCCCGGCGGCCTGCCCGGCACGTCCGACGTAATCGGTTGCTGATAAGATACGCATCTGGGCACAGACGCAGGATAAGAGTTAAGCAAGTAGGCAAGTAATAGAATAGATCAAGTAGGCCCTGTTTTTTTAATCGAAGTGATTATTCGGACTCGAGTCCGAATATGAAAAAATATTATTCGGACTCTGATTCTTGTCCAGCATGACATCACTTCCGACTTTCTGTGACTCGTGAATCCGTCTTCCTGTCCTGCCTCACTCGTGACTCGCCTCAGGCTGGGTAGAGACCGGGATTACTTCGGGCAAAAAGGCGTTTTGTGCAGGAGCCGAGTTTTAATCTTATGATGAATTTGAGGCCGGCCTGAAAAGTTATAGCGCTTCTAATAAATGTTTATTTGTCAAGAGGTCATCAGAAGCAATTAAAGATGGCTCGTTAGCGTGTGTCGGGGTCGGATGGGCGGCCTGCACACGTGTGGCTGTGTGCGTGTCGGGGAGGGTGGTGGGTGGGGGGGGGCACTATCGGTCCGGGCTTTGAACGTCGCATATGCGTCAGTCTTTTCCCCCCCGGCAACTGATCATTATTACAATAATAAGCTAGTCTTGACGTAGATCTACGTAATGAATTGTGCGCTGGTCTATGGAATCAAAAGTTGCAATCGATAGGCTTGTGTATTTGAACGAATCGGTCTTTTTTTTTTTTTTACACAGCTCATTATATGCAGGTGCCAGGTGGTCTGCTAATCTTCAATTTTACCTTTTTCTACAACAAAGAAAGTGGGAAACGTGGTGGGGGGGGGGGGGGGGCGTATTAATGAGGCGGCGGGCATTGGATCGGCAGATAAGGTGTGAGGGAAACTAAAAAATGGCGGAAAATTGGAAGCACTGAACGTTAGATCTATAGAACGAAGACACTTCCTTTTTTCGGGACCCGAGTCCGAATATGAAAAAATGTTATTCGGACTCGAGTCTGAATAACGACGGCCTTTTTTAATATTTGATTCTTTAGCTTCCCCGATTCGGATTTCAGCGTTGAGGCTGTTGTGCTCACTGCACTGCACATCACAGTACTAGCTTAGTAAGAAGAGAGATGACAGATGTTTGACTTTCGCCTGTCACCCTTGCTCAAACTCAAAGATTTTTAAGGCTAACACTTTTCATGCCCACGTCGCCAATCGGCGATTCCTGTTTTGGCTCTCTTCGGGAGATGTGGTCCCGGCCTAACTCCATAGCCATAGACATTTATACATTAGATCTATGTCTGAAACAAAACCGCAAGCTGCTTTTTAATAAAAAGAGGGGGGGGGGATGCAGTGGGGAATTCACAAAATAATGGTTTGTGACAGTTTTTAGTACCAAAATTGTTCTTAAAATGGGTTTGCACCTTTTCTAAAAATTTACGCGTGGTCTTTTCAACCTGGCATCTCAGTAAGATTTTTTTTACTCGACTTCCGTTTTTGTTTCGGATTTTGTCTATAAATGTCTGTGGAGTTATGCCGGGACCACTTCTCCTGAAGAGTGCCCCTGTTTTTAACCATAAAATCCAGATATTGCCGATCGGTTGGATAGGCGACGCCGTCCCTTAGTAAGATGCATGATCCTAAGCAATGATGGTTACATAACTTACAAGGTGACTGCCAAGTTCTTTGAATCTTAGAGACCTCAGGAATGCTCCTGGAATTTGAATAAAATTATCAATACCAGTAGTGCCCCCTGGGATTTGAATAAAAGTCCAGTAAAGAAACTGTTTTCTCATCACTGCTACGTTGTGGTATGAAATTTGCAATCATCTTTAATTAGATCTAGATTAGATACCACAATTTTTTTTCACTATGAACAAACTGTTCATGGAACGAGTTATGAATACTAATGATATACACGCAGGAGAAATTGGGGCATTTACGAAAGAAAATTTTTTTCCAATATTTTCAGCGATAGTCGAGTTTTCATCGAAGAAAGAGGATTGGTCAGTAGCGAATCAGAAACTAGCCGAAAGGCACTGAGACACCTAGTTCGGAAGGTATAGAGACCTCCTAAATATTCCCTAAATGTCTCCTAATTAATCTACCAATGAGGAGAGAGATGGATCGCGAATTTCCGTTTTTTTGATGGAGTTGAAAACAAGAAAGTTTCAAGGTGGTTTCTTTGTGGATGCTGTTCTCAAAGGTGTGTGTATTAGATCATTCCACGGAATGCTCAGGACTACATCATCTCTGATAAGTTGCACTTTTTAATATTAGAAGGTATTTTGTGAAATTCCTTGCAGAACGATCGGGTAAACTTTTGCCGCCTGCTCACTGTGACGTCACGGCTGTATAAAGCATTGTTCTGATTGAACAGTTACTTTAATCGACCTGAATACCATGGAAAACACCGTACTTATGGATTAGGGCGTAATGAAGATTTCTTTCAATTTGGCGTCTCAAATACTTGGGCTTGATTTTGGGTGTACATGAATTTATTGCAGGTATAGACTTGAAGATAGAGCTGCTGATACTACTTACTCATAATGATAAAGCAGAAGAACAAAAATAATTTGCAGAATACACACACATCAGATCGACATAAATGAAATATTGTAGTTCTATAGTACCCCCATACACGCTCAAATTTTTTGGTAAAAAATTAGTTTGTGCCAAGAGTTTATAATGGACGGACAAACTGCGTTGGCTCTTGCTTTAGCCTTGCGAAGAAAAAGAAAAAAAAGAAAAGAAAGTGACAGTGTTGGTGTTTCTTGACTACAGGAATAAAAGAGCACCAAAATACCTCAATGAAGGCTCGAAGGTATCATCTGCACCAACTGAGACTCAATTTATTCATCTCCCTTCAAAAACTCGTCCGTATTGAGTTAATTTTCTTTTTCATTTTTTCTTTTGTGGCATCTGCATACCGCTCCCTGTATTTCAGCAGCAGAGCGTCATAAGCAGCTTCTTTGGAAAAAAAAAATCTCGGTCACTAATATTCTTAACTTTCCATAGTTCAGGCAAACTCTGGTACACTTCAATCAGTTCCGGAATATTTTATGTTCATCCTTTGATGGCGCCATGATGATGTAAAAAGTAGATCTTTTCCATCCGGCAGCAACTGAAAAAATAATGTTTGCACAAATAAATTGGATGAAGCCCACACACGATCAAACAGTTTGACGGTTTGACAAAAAATACAAATTGAAAACAAATCCGTCAAATATTTGACATCAAATTATTTTGACCATCAAACACACCTATACATGATCTAAAACCTATTAAAATAAATTTGTGTCAAACATCTGATGAAACTATCAAACAAATTTGAGCGTGTATGGGGCACTTAAGGCATATTTTCATGGTATGGAAGGGGGTAGGAAGTGAGGAAAATACATGTAAAGTGCCTTTCCCGAGGACATAACATCGGGCCTGAGTCTGGAAACCCAAAACTAGCAACTTCACGATTACGAGTTTGGTAGCTAACAAAACAGGACGCTGCACAGTGGCTGCCAGCGATGGTGTGTTTGTAGTGCATCAATATGTTGAACCCTATTACCGTCAGTGGTGAACTTGCACTTGTCAGGGAAAGTGTTAGGAGCAATGGTGCACCTTAAGATGGAAGAAGTGAGTACAAAATACATGGTAGATATAAAAGACCAGAAAACTAAATGGAAAGCTCTTTGAAAAAGCTATAATTGCTGAAAATATTTATGATTTCAACATTTCTTCCCTAAAATCTGGCTGGTATCTCGGAAACTGCTGAGGACCCGACGGGGTTTTCTGTTGTGTTCCTCTGGCTCAAACAGAGATGTTTCCGGGGTTCGCGAAGACCGCTTCCGGAAACTGCCAAGGACTCGACGAAGCCGTTTTCACTGACTTGCAGAGTCGCGGCGGCCGCCGGTTCTAATTTAAACAAAGGACAATCTGTTTCGTTCCTCTAGCTGAAAATGAGTTTTTAATAACTACTGGAGGTCTTTTTCAAAATGAGTGCATTTTCTTTCAACGTCGGTATTTTCGGGGGTTTGTGTAAACGGTTTTCAGAAACTGACGATTTTATCGGAAATAATAGTGTGGTTGCAAAGAAAGTGCTGATCTCATCATAGCACTTTCCAGTAATAGGGTTTTAGTATAAATATTGGTGTATTTATGTATTAATGTGTGCATTATGTTTTGCCATAGTAAGCAACATTTTTCTAAGGGGTCAATGAAGTGGAATTTTTTTTGGGGG